TGCCAATTAATCAGGCTATCTGAATGTTTTCCCTGATGCACAGTTTTTATGGAGTTAATAGTCCATGTCTATCCCTAGGACCAATGGTATTTATGAAGATTACATACAAGGGTATAATGGCAGATAGGTGAAAAGATGGAAGGTAATTGTAAAGAAGGCATCAACTGCCATTTTTTCCAATGATCTTGCTGCCTGCGAGCCGAGTAAGGGCCAAAGCCCACAGCTGGCATTGTAGGCCTTGCAAAGCCTGGTCCTGGTAGGATTTCCCAGCGGACGTTTTATGTTGCCTAGTAATCAGATCACTGGTGATCTTCTGGCTTGGTGTCCCTGTTTCGCTTAAGTGTTTGATAAATCATCCATGCTTTGTTCATCTGCCACCAAATTTGCTGTTCAAATCCTTTTATCTTTCAAGCTTCCCAACCCCCACCTCCTCTGTGTAACTAGCAGGCAGTAAGCAATCCACTTGTGAGCTTGGAGGACCAGTTCTCACTTGGACAATTCAGTTGGTGACACAAGAAGTGATGGACAGGTGCCTACTAGGGGCCCTGGAAGCTCCTGTTAGTTGAATGACTGCTTACAAGCCTGCTTTGTAACTGCGGCAGTGTTTCTCGAAGCTTCCCACAGCACTGTCACATGACAGAGGAACTGGGAATTTCATTTTAACCTGCTCTACCCCACAGTGCTCTTTGGGAACATTTCTTTGTGAGATCCTAATCTAGGAACATCATAGTTAGTAGAAGGTTAAACTTTTGTGTAACATGGGGAAACAGTTCAGGTGTACAGTGTCTGTTGCCTCAATTAGTTTTAGAAATTGGGCTCTATTAAATACAGGAATCAATTCACTCAGCAAGCAGCATAATCAGAAACAGTTAAGTCCACTGCTGCCAATCTGACTCAGAGGTCTAGGAAGTCCTTTTCTTCAGGACATTTGAGAATTTTCTGGGAAATAATAAAGCTTAAGTACTGAGTGGAGTCGTGTATCCCATGTGCAGGAGAAGCAGCTCACAGACACCAAGGTAGATTGCAACAAGACCAATACCAGAAACATTTAAATCCCTTTAGATCCGCAAATGGTGCTGACAGGTACTGGGAACAGTTTGTGTGGAGGAGGATGGTGTGAGACATACCTGATGAGGGAGAGAATTCAAGTTGCACATGACCTTCCACTGCCCTTGTCTGCACTCCTGCAGCTGCCATCCTGTGTTGGCAGGGTGGACTCTGTTCTGAGGCTGCCTTAGCCTCCTCTGCCCCATTCTAGCTGGCTGTCAACACTGTGTATCCATAGGTTCTGCATCTGTGAATTAAACTGAGCTTGGATACAAATTATTCAGAAAAAGAAATGTGTACCAACAGGTACTTTGCTCATTGTTTCCTAAATAACAGTATGACAACTATTTACATAGCATGTTTAGATTGTATTGGATACTGTCAGTTATCTAAAGATACATTATAGAACAGGCTGGGTGCTGGTGGCTCACACCTTAATCCTTAGCTACTCAGGAGGATGAGAATATGAGGATCAAGGTTTGAAGCCAGCATAGGACATTAACTCCATGAGATTTTTTTTTTAATTAGTCATGGGACTTGAACTCTGGGCCTGAGTGCTATCCTTCAGCTCTTCAGCTCAAGGCTAGCGCCCTACCACTTGAGCTACAGTGCCACTTCTAGTTTTCTGGTGGTTTATTGGAGATGAGTTTCATGGACTTTCCTGCCCAGGCTGGCTCTGAACCAAGATCCTCAGATCTCAGCCCCTGAGTAGCTAGGATTACAGGTGTAATTAGCCACCAAAACAGCTGGAAGCAGAACTGTGTCTCAAGTGGTAGAATGCTAGCCTTGAGCAAAAAAGCTAAGGGACAGACTCAGGATCTGAATTCAAGCCCTGGTACAGGCACACATACAAAAAATAAAATGTATAGAGGATATACATATATGCCTATGTTACATGTGAATACACTGCTTTAAGGGACTTGATGAAGAGTGTGTCTTGAAGCCAGTCTCCTGGGACACTGAGGAAGATGGAAGCATGTCCTGTGGTCAAGTTCTTTTACTCCTGTCTTCTTTCTCAGTCTACTCCACAGGGCAACTGTGAAGCTGAAGCACTACATCTAAAGTGCTTGGCCTATGCCTGGCATGATAAATGGCAGCTGTATTATCAGAGTACATGCTTGGTTCTGGACACTTGAAAGGATTGACTAAATGTTGGAAAAAAATATATTGTAGTCACACTATATTTCATATATCAATAACAACAAAGAAAGGCATGAAGCTTGTTAAAAGATAACCATGCATTTGAGCCAGAGGACCACCAGGTTCTAGAGAGGACCTAGAGCATACATGTACAGAAAAATAAGTGTTCTGGGATGTTTGGACAGGGAGTGACCTACGAGGGGACAGTGACATGGTCTTACATTATAAGAATGGTCTGTGTTGATGGTTGGCATCAGAAGCAGATCCAGGGTTACAAATGGATTGCATTTTAGTTCAGGCTGTTGCATGTTTGTACTGAGTCCCTTTACCCACCTTTTGGAAGTGTGCTGTTGCAGTGAAGTGTATGGGTAGACTGCGACTCCATTTACAACATTCTAACTCTTCTCAACGCTAACTCACCTAACTTGGCTCCCCAGTGTAGAGTGTAATGGTATAATGAAAATACTGCTGAGATGACTTCTGCCATTCCCTGTTGCCGGGAATTTTCACTTAGTATGGAATCACGAGCACCTGGATTGAGCTGAGTGACTGGATGATCACAGCAGATTATGGCAGAGCTTTAAAACTAGGAATGCTTAAAAGCAGTGGGTTAAAGTGGTTATCATTACATAACAAGTAATGTTCTTGCACCCTGCTCTCTTCCAGGCTATTCTCATGGATCACAACTGCCCAGTTAAAACAAAAATGTACACCCAGAATAATATCCAGTCCTACCCGTTAGGCGATGATGAGGAATCTGAAAGTGACTGAGACTCTCTAAGTCATCGGAGTGTTTAACTGTATTAGAAGTGTTTCCAGTGAAATGACTCGTGCAGAGTTGTCTTAGTCACACACCATCCATCCCTGGCAAAGAGTAAAACAACCAAAGGTGATTCTTTCTTTCCATGGTTATGAACGACTGCCAACAGCCTTATAAAGAAAAAGCGGCTTTTCTAGTGGTTTGTATAAATAGTGTTGAAAACTTTATTTTATGTATTTGATTTTATTAAATATTATACAATATATTTTGACGAAATAGGTATATTGTAAATCTATAAATATTTGAATCCAAATCAAATATAATTTTTTAACTTACATTCACAAACACTTGGACAAAAAAATCTATTTTTTCTGAATATTGGTAATGAGTGTTTAAAGCACACATTATCTGAGACTTTTCCAACAAGAAACTAGAAGTCTGAAAAACAACCATGTTAAGACAGCATGTTAAGGACCAACACTGACAGAGTGTTAACTTGTAGTTAGTATTGATATATTTTTGAGACAAACTGAGTTATCCCAAGTGCAAGACAAGAAAATGAGTTAGTCATCTTTTGGAGTTATAAATCTTCACCAGCATTTGTTTTCTATAATCACTCACCTGGAGAGGAAGTGGTAAATTATGTTTCTATGTCATGTGGTTGGAAAGGAACACAAAATCCATAGAAAAAGGAACACAAATCCAGAGAAAAACAATGTTCTAAATGTAGAGAAAAGCTCTCTAATGTAGTTTTGAACTTCAAGTTTTCAAGACGCATGCTTGTCTTATTGAGTGAAAATGTAGGGCATCTGTACCTTAAACTGTCAAGGTTGTCTAAGCATGGTTAGGCTTATCAACACCTAGTTCAAGTTCTAGAAAAAGAAACCTACAAGACTAGTAGCTGCTATATCTTGAAAAATAAAACTTTTAACTATGACCTCTATGCAGGTCATCCGAGTGTTTTTCTAGGGATCTATTACTTTTGAAATTGTTTGCAGCTATTATTTTCTAGCCTCTGGAAAATGACACCAGTGTGTGAAGGCAAGTTTTAAACAGATCAATGAACTTGTCTTTAATTATGTTAGGAAAACAGATAAAAGATAATTGGGTGGCCAGGATGTGTATCGCCTTTCCCAGAGAGAAAAGAACATCCAAACATCTAAAAATATATGTTTGCCTTATCATCTGTGTGCAAGGTAGTGTAACTTTTCTAAGCATGGCAACATTGATGAATTTTCAGTGTACCAGCAAATGCTGTTTGTGAACAGTCAATCTACGTCACTTTGTATAAGATAGGAATGTGATGATTGTGTGTGTGTGTGTGTGTGTGTATGTGTGTGTGTGTGGGGGGGCTATATTTCAAATGCTTGTTGATTCTGCGGTCGTGTAATCATGAACAAAAATTTCCTAATGTCAGTTTTGCTAAGCTGAAATTGTGTTTGTGTTAACTTGGACATCAAGAAGCACAGAACTTTAGAATATTCTTCAATCAAATTAACTATTACACTCTCTAGGAAAGCAGCCAACAGTTTAGCTTTATCAAGCTTTTGTGTGGGTGGTAGTTGCTCTGTAGTCTGGTGTGTAAGTGCAGTGTGTTTGACAGCAACAGGCTTTGTATTCAATAACATTGGACAGTTATACAAGTCTGCAACTTTGGAAGGTGGCAATGAAGGAGCTCCTTGTATGGGTTAAAAAAAAAAAGGTAGCATTGTTCTACTTCAAAGAAAAGCCTTAAAAACAAGTGCTATAAATTGATTCTCTTAAGTTTGAGGTTCTTCCTATTTTTGCCTTTGTGGCTTCAGCTTCTTCTTAAAGAGTGACTGGCAAAGATATACCTGCTGTTGATTCTTAGGGAAAAAATATATTTTGTTCCCTCCGAGCTGTTTGGGAAGCAAAATATATGTTGTATCTGGGAAAAACCCAAACACCCTTAGTTAAGGTCTTTTATATGACTAATGTCTGGGTTAATAAGACTCTGAAAACAGGTGTTTTAAGAAATTATGTATGTATCAGGACAAAGAATACACAGCTCTCTGAATTCATTTTTTTAAAAAGAGGTGGCTTTTTATGCTTGTACTTGATAATACAGACACAAAAACCATGAGGTAGCAGTGACTATCCAGCTTCCATTTGACTGCTAAGTGTATCTGTCCTATTCATGTTTAAGCTAGTTTACTTAATAAATCTTATGGCCAATACACTATGTCTGCCTGTATTTTTTCATAAACCAAATATTCTTATTGGAATAATATTCGTAAGGTATTATTTTGACTGTGGATATTAATTAGTTTCTTAAACTATTTTGCTTGCAGGAATTGGTTGGATAAAAGGCACTGCAGGTTAGTGTGAACCATACCTTTTGTCTTCCCATAATTTGTTTTCAAATGAAATATCCAACCAGTCACATTATGTGTGGAAAGAGTATTTTCCTTGTTTCTCCTAATTTCTATTTGTTACTACTGTATATCATGGTCTGATAAAAATAGCCACAATGCCTAGTCATTTGACAAATGCTGTGTAAGACAAGGGTCTTTGGAGCCTTGGAAGTTCTGGAATAGGATGTATATGTACAGCTTCTAGGACTGAGGGTCCAGTTTTAATTCAAAGGGCATCCAGGACTAAAAAGATGAGGGAACCTCCACTTTCTTGTGTAAGGGAAACTATTATCTCAGTTTAGAAATTAAGGTAACATATTTTAAAGTTAAAGTGATATTAAATGTACTCACTTTTAGGGAACTTACAATTTTATTTTTTACTATTAGTAAGGATGAAATATTTTCAAACTGCCTTAAAGTAGATATACTTAAATTTAGAACCTGAAAGTACTGCCAAAATATTCAGGTAGTACTCCCTCCTCTCAGAATCAGAAAATAGCCACATAATATTCCAGCTGGTTGTGATACTGAAGAATGAGGCTAATATGGAGATGTAGTATATAACAACTGTAAAGTAATGCTTAGTGCTCATTTCTGTCAAACCCATTCATCTAAATACTAATGAAGAAAATACATTTTAAATAGATTGTTTTTGAAACAGGGTCTTATGTATAGTATATTACTATACAGCAGAAGCAAATCTATATATTTCATAAGCTAATAAGTTAACAACTAAACTTTACTGCTTTTGCAATTTTGTTTAGCAAAAGTTGACTGTTCTCTTGGCTGCATGGCCAAATTATACCAGGCAAGGTTATTATAGAGATGCAGCAATCACCTTGTTTTTTAGAGGTCATCAAATGAAGATATTCTTGTTTCCTGTGGTAGTCTTTATTATTATTTTAAGCTATTGATAACATAGCATGGCAGCAAGATTACATCAGTAATGTAATATAATACAACTTTTTAGCATGAAGCTTTATATCTTACTATACTCTAGGCTATTTTGAGTGTTCCCTCTTGCACTAAAGTACAACTGTGATGCCTGCTACTGTCCTCCCAGAAGGTAGAAAAATATCGTACTACACTAACAGTATATTTTACAAATGTCATTAGCAGCATTACTGAGCTTCCCGTAACAGTGTTTCTGCAGAGTTAAATACTTTAAAACATTAATAGATTCTTAGGAAACCAAAGTTCTGCATTATTTCTATAGCTCTTTCAAACACATCAGTTTCAGAAGCATGCTTAGGTATCACTCAGACATCTGTGGTTTAATCCGTAAACACCAGCAACTTACCAACACTCATCTTCCAACTTATCTTTTTACAAGATGAAACACGGTTATATGTTGGGCAGATCATTTCAAGCATGTGCTATGGGGGCATACATTTTAGTTTTTGGTGAGTTTGGTGTTGAAAGTCTTCTATGAGGAGGGTGTTCTTTTAGAAGGCAAACATGCTTAAATAAACAGTGAAAAAGAGCTTACATCAATATACTATCGTTATAAACCTAAGAAAGATATTGAGTGCCCTAAGATTTCCCTTAGTAAAATAATAGGAATGAAAGTTGGCTATAGAGTTTAAAAATGGAATAAACTTTTCTACCCTCAAAAATGTTTTTCTCATAGAAATGATGGCTTTGATTTGTGTAGCTTGCTAAGTGCTTTTGCAGTTATGTTTTTTCCTCACAACAATCCTGTGAGGTAGTTCAGAGTATTTAAGTATGATTCTTCTCTCTTCAGAGATGGGGAAACAGCCACACCAAGCCCTCCTGAGACTTGCCTATAGTTGCACAGCTCATTATTGGAAGAGCTTGAACTACACTCTGTATAAGCCTGGACAGCCTTGCTATTACACTATGCATTTTCCTGCCCACCATAAGAGCTATTCCACCTACTTTAAAATTCATGTTGGTTTATGTATAATTTATCTTAGCAGTTATCAGCAAAAGGGAAAAAAACATGACATACTTATCTATTTTATAGGTATATAACAGGCTCAGACTTTTAAGGAATACCAAGAGAGGTCAAGTGCTCACATCTTCCCTCAGTTGTGTATTACTGGGACCCATAAGATAGACCCAGTGTGAGAGCAGACTTTATTTTCAGAAATCAATTCCCATATACACTATTTTAGTTTCCTTTTTATAAATAATTAAGACAGTCTGAATTACCAAAGTATTCAGAATGATCATCATTCCCTTAAAGCCTGTTAAGACACCAGATAAAGCAATAAATAGGTTTTGCTTGATTCTTCTCCTTTGCTTCATATTCCTACATGAAAATTAGAAAAGAATAAACCCAGTTATCAACACAGTCATTTTAAGAATAGTCTTCTGAGATTTTAAAAATCCTTGTACACGCTTTATTTCCTACGGGAAACCTGAAGATGAAAAATCAGCCTAAATGCTTGGGAAAGCACTGATACACTGAAAGCATTTCAAAATCCTACTCTTACTGTTTTTCAGGAAGCGTTTACAGAATTCCTCACCAACTCTCTATTATATTTATCCCCTATTACATCTTGCTCTTCATTGTACCATTTTACTTTTACTATACTTCACCTGCACAAAAGCTTTAGAAAAAACTTCCACAGCACAGAAAGCAAGCAATATGTAAAAAAAAAAGTTGTTTTTTTTTTTTTACTAAATCAGCATAACATATTAATAAAGCTGCAGCATCTGCTTTTGTGTTACATTTGGCAAAACAAAACAAAGTTACCCCCAAGCCCAAAACAACAAAAATCTCAAGCAAGTGGAGCTGACAAACTTTCTAACAAAAAATGAAGATTAAAACCTGTTCCCTCAGTGATTGCCGTTGTCAATTTGGGCATGCAGCAAATTTGTTGTTATATAACCGTGATGCAAATCAAAGGATTTCAAGAAGTTGGACAAAATCTATTTAACACGAATTCAGAAACTAAGAAGGAAAATAACAGTGAGATATCACACATATATAAACATGAATTAAACTTACATAATTACATAATTAGAAAAAGTTAAAAATAAATTAGTAAAAACCAATTCCCAGTATAAACCCAAAAAAGCATAGCTATAAATGTAACCCAAAACAATTTGGTGAGCTGGTCACATTTGTGCTGGAAAACAACTTTTTACACCCTTGTCCTTACTGGAACAAATAACTGAGAAAGCAAGCCAGAGCACTGTGAGAAGATCGAAACATGGTTGCATTCGTGGTACTATAGATGTACCTTGTCCCCAACCATATGAAAGTTTAAACAGTCCATCTGTTACACAGACTCGGATGGGCCAAATAAGTCATCGGAGATGTTGCTGAATGGCTGAGAGTCCATCAGTTGGCTTATTTCACTATCAAGATCTTCTTCTGTTTCATCTGTGTACTTGCTTATTTTTTTTGAGTGTTGGTCTAATGACAGACTTTCTAAGGTTTCAATATCTTCAATGCCTGCTCTGTAGTGAATCATTAGAAGTGTTAGAGCTTGTAGTCTTTCACCTGATTTAACCAAAGCAGCAGAAAGAAGTGATTTTTTCCTGGTATCACTTGTCTCTTTTTCTTCTCTAACGAGGGAATTATTGTGTTCCAACTCCTGATCAATTTCATTCTGCAGCTTATCCAACATGAACTCTAGCTTCTGGATCCTCTCCTCTGTGGGCAAGCCTCTGTACAGATCACGGCCAATTTCTTTAACTGCAATGAAAACACTGTCATCCAGCCCACCTTCCTTTCGCACTAACTTTATTCCTGCACTGTTTCCCCGTTTGGAAGGGCTGTTGGGACCACAGACTTCTGTGTCACTGCCTTCGTTGTCTGATGTGTTGGGTGTATGTTTTGGTGAAGGATCTACAAGATCAGTTCCTGGTTCTGCAAGGCGCGTTTTAGAGACTTGCCGCAAATTTAGCAAACGAGAGCTAGTATTGATAATGTGCCTGGTCAAACCTGTTGTTTTATTGACTGACTTGTTAGGTTCGGTTTCAGCACGGGGAGGCAGGCCCAGGAGGGGTTCCTGTCCTTCCAGTCTAAGGTTTTTCAGGGCCCGGTCCATTCTCCTCTCGGTTGCTCCACACAGAGGAGTCTCAGCTAGACACTTCTCTTGACATTTTTTATGACAAACGTAAGCACAGAACATACATTGGGAAGCAGCTTTTGTCCAAACTTTTTTCTTACAGTAATCACACCAGGTTGGGTTTTGGAACTGAGTATCCTGGAAACTATGTTTATTTTCTGGTGAGCCTGTTTGTCCAACTAAGTGTTCCTCTTTAGGCAGGGCAGAAGCTTCTTCGACCACGTGAAATTCTTTCTCTTTCTCTACATTAGTAACTACATGGTGGTCTGGTTCTCCTTCCTTCAAATATTTGAAGTGAACAGTAATGTCACCAAAGCAGAATTTATCATTGAAGCCCTTCTGCATACTCAGATTACGGAGAGCAGTTCTTGTGACCATGGCCTTGGGTGCAGGGGCTTCCAGCCTGAATTTTGAAAGGTACTCCATGTTTGATGTAGCTAGGCACCCCAAAGCTACCTCTTCAAGTTTTAAACTAATGTGGCCCAAACAGATGAGACCCCCCAACTTGAAAGGATCCCGGCACCACAATGCGATGTTTAGGTATCTGTGGCAGGCATCTATGTCAAACAAACAGGATGCTCTGCTTCTTGTCCATTTTCCTACCTTGTTACGATAGAGAATTTCTGATGACTCCCAAGTCTGGCGGTCATCTGAACTGTCTTTAGTAGGGCAGGAACTTTCTGAAGTGAAGTCTTTTGTCACTTCTTGCTTGGCTGAAAATGGCTTAGACGGAGGTGCATCTTCTACATGATCCATGCTCTTTGCTTGCTTTTCAGCAGATTTATCTGCAGGGGGAGGTGGCAGCACCTTTTCTGGCTTTTCAACAACATCCGGATCTGCCTGAGTGGGGGTGTCTGCAGAAGGCAAAGGAACTTTCAGTTGTGGTCGTGGTGGCACAGGAGGTTTGAAAGTAGGTCCTTGGGTGGGTTTTGACACTTGTGCTGAGTCTGTTACCTCAGAAGGTTTTAGGGCTGATGGTTTACTTCCTTCTTTGGATGGAAGTTTTGGTGGCGGTGGATGACTTCCTGCAACTAATTTACGGTTTAAAACTGGTGATATAGCGCCAAGTGGTTTAACAGAAAGTGTTGTGGGAATACGTTTGGGACTGTGACTTAAAGACTGTGCCTCATCCTTGAATTCATTTTGTACTCGAACATCACTGGCCAAGTCTTCAAATTCAGAATCCAAGTCTCTGTTTTCAGCATCAACTGCCAACCCGGCAGCTTCCTCCTCATAGCCTGGTTGGCATGCGCCTGGCAAATAGCTTTCTTCCAAATGGCCAAAATTCTCCTGCAGCATTGCGCTTTGATGACTCTGACCAACAGGCCTTTCATAGTATACCAGGACTCGGTCACCAGCCTGCTTGATAAGCTTCAACACTTGCAGTGTTGATGTAATTTTCACCCCTGATGAAGGATTTAAAAGGAAAAACCTAAGTTACTGCAATAAAAATTTACTTATTTCAACTGTTACCAATTTTGTTGCTAAATATTTTTAAAATAAATAAACGAAGCAATTATCTACAGCTTTATTTTTTGAGAAATATCTGTTGACCTTAGGTAGTTTATGATGTATTAAAAGAAATAGACTAACTTTAAAAATGAATGTGTATTATACCTGTCTCATATCTCAATAATTTTAGCAAATGTTAAAAATATTTTAACCAAATATGAGATGTGAGCAGACATTTACTACTAAGTAAATGAAAACAAAATCCTAAAAGGGACATTAAAAATCTCATATAGGTAAAACCCAAACAGGGCATTTGTGAATATAAAAACTGAAAATCTGAATTGCAGTTTCAGCTGAGGGGATGTTGAGGGGGGAATCTACGTAATGGATGAGATCTAGTCCATGCCTTTCCTAATGTCTAGGGACCAGCAGTACCAGCATCCTGTGGGCGCTTGTTATAGATGCACAATCTCGGGTCCAACCCCAGGCCTTCTGAACTGGAACACCCTTTTGAATACCAAGGCTGGGTAACTGGAATATACATGAAAGTGACAGAAGCCCTGTTTTGTGCCATGATCAGAGGGATGTCTATGTGAAAATACTATCTTAGTTGAGCTGTAAGTGTATAACTAAATCATTCTTTACTATTTTATTGTTACAATGGATTTGAGTCAAAGACAAGTTTCAGTGACATGTTACCATTGATAATGCTCTCTGATTTGGGAACTGCTCTACCTTATTTATTGTCTGAGCTGTGGAGGAACACATCACAGTGCCTTTAAAAGGTCAGCTGTGACTAATCACGTGTTGATGACATCTCTAGACTAGCCTACTACAATGGGTGGGTAGGTACTTCAAGCTGTGCACTGCTCTCACAGCTGTGCATAGTTCAGCCCTACTGCTTAGGCATACAAATTCAAGCAAATAACCCGCCTCTCTTGTCTGAACCAATGTGGGTACAAGTGTTAATACTGCTGATTTTAGGCTCAGAGTGGTGATAGAGGTTGTGGTACAGAAGGGTGATGGTCGACTTTCACAGTCAACAAAAATATAGAGAAGGTGGGATGGGAAGGAAAATTACACAGTGGCCTGAAAGTATTTATAGTATAACAAAACTAAAGTGACAAATTTGAACATTTTAAATTTTCTTCAGATTTTTGCTTAGTTTAGTATTTTTTATTTTGTTTTGTATACTGGAGCTTGAACTCCGGGCCTCATGCTTGCTAGGCTTGTGCTTTACCTACTCAAGCCCTATTTTCTATTGTTTTTTTTTTTTTTTTCAGAGGAGGGAGTCGTCTTATGCCCAGGCCAGCCTGAAATGCAATCCTGTTACTTGTACTTCCCTATGTCTCTGGGGATGACAGATCCAATTCACTCAGCACAGCAATTGGTTGAGATGGAGTCTTGAAACCTTTTTTCCTAGTCTGGCCTCAAACTTCAATCCCTGCCTCCTAGCTAAGATTATAGGTTTAAGGCACCACACTACGCTTATTGCTTTCTTTCCTTATAAAAGTAACAGCAACAAAAAGTAACATGGTATAGAAATAAGGAAGCAGGAAGAGATGACAAATTCTACATTTAGTTTCTCTATATATGTAAAGTATAGCACATATTGGCATAATTACCTCCAATGGCAATGAGTCGATCTCCACGCTGAAGATCTGCAATTGCAGCAGGTGAGTTTGGGGCCACAGTTTCAATTATGACATGTCCACCATACCCATCAGTTGACTGAACAAGACGAAGTGTAAGTCCAACACTTTGTAAATTCCCTTTTATCAATTCAACCTTTGATAAAGGGTAAAAAAACATAAAAACAGATCCAATGAATTTGTAGCAGTGGAGTGAGGTAACAGTACACACTGAGAACACCACAGCTGACGGTGACTTTTGTACAATGTGATGACTATAGTTACAGACAAAAGATGAAATCACTGCAACAATATAAACTGATAAACTCTTAGGCTACAGGTAAGCCATCAAAAAGTGAAAGTCTTCAATGTGACTTATTAAAGATCCATGCTCTCTGTAGAAAATTTGGAAATAAACAGGCAAAATGAAAAGAAAACCACTTGCAAACATGCTTTAAAACTGTAATATTTTCTGTTTTCTCATATATATAAAATAAAATTGAGTTGTCTCAAAGCTGACATTGTGAATATAATCATATATGTTGAATATAAATCTGTATCTTGCTTTCTTCAAATACAATAAAAATAACTTACATCATTAGATGTGCTTTGGAAACCACTTTTTTTTGTTTGCTTAATGCTAGCCCTGGGGCTTCAACTCAGGGCCTGGGTACTGTCCCTGAGTTCTTTTTGCTCAAGGCTAGCACTCTATAGCTTGACCTATAGCTCCATTTCTGTTTTTTTGGTATTTAGAGATAAGCGTCTCATGGACTTTCTGCCTAGGCTGGCTCTGAACCATAATCCTCAGATCTCAGCCTCCTGAGTAGCTAGGATTACAGGTGTAAGCCACTGGCGCCCAGCTAGAAACCACTTTGAATGGTATATAACTGGTCTTTCTGAATCTACATATTCAACCAGTAATATATAAAAAATGTTCCAAAAATATATCTGTGTCAAACATGTATGAACTTCTCCTTGTCATTATATTTTAAACAACACAGTATGAAAATTATATTGCATTTACTATTATTCTAAGCAATTTAGAGATCATTTAAAGCACACAGGAGATATGCATAGGTTATGTGTAAATATTATGCCATTTTATATTAAGGAACTTAAGCATCTGCTGGCTGAGTCGGGGAGGAACTAGTTCTCTGAAGATTTGAAAGGGTTACTGTATTATTTAACTTTCTTGTTTGGAGGGAAGTAAAGGAAAAGAGTTTGTTTACATTTTCTAGAATTAGCAATTAATATGGTACCCTGTTCAAATGGACTCAGATCATTGTTTTTCAAATAAATGTTACCTATCACCCAATTTATCAGTAATATAGATCCCCAGATTAACATCATCTGTCAATTAAAAAATATACTATTTGTTCTCATTCAAAACACTGATTAAAATAAAATACCATGTCTTCAATATTTTTCTTATGTCTATGACTTCTCAATGGGAAGCAATAAGGTTGTTGAAGATGTAGGCTAGATTACCTAGTTTATTATCCCTATCCTTTAGAGATGTGCTCCCTAACTCAATCTATATTAGGTTAAATGAGTCACAAGAAAAAGCGTATGTTCTTATTCATCTTTATTCTCTTTCCTTCCAAACACACTAGGCATAAGGTAATACAAGAAACATCTAGCTTAATGAGAATTGTTAGGTCTTACTCAATTTCTGTTTACAATGTTATTTCTATAAACCATAATTCCAAGATGTTTAAAAAAAAAACCTTGTAGGTTCAAGAATGGAAAAAAAAAACCATAGAGAAATGAAATAAGGAGTCTCTGAATGATCATCCTGTTATCAATCTATGTCTAAGCACTGGCTGTTTTACCATCATCAAAGGTACAAGCTAGGGCTGGTATGTAGCTCAGTGGCAAAGTACTTGCATAGCAAGTACAACATCCTGGGTTCATTTCCAGAAAAGGAAAAAAAAAGATGCAAACTAAAATATTTCCAAGCTAAAATATTTCACCGGACCCTCAACTGCTTACAATCTATACTTTGCTTCCAAGGCACATGGTTCTTGATCATCTTCCATCAGTTCTATCATTCTTACAGAATAAAGATTATCTATTAGATGCCTTCTTTGGAACTCTCTTAGCAGCTATGAAGGTTCATATAAATACACATGTGATTACACCATCTTTTTCATAAAAAGTACAATTGTACTAAAGTCATGGTTCAAGTGGTAGAGAATCAGCTATAAGAAAGAACAACTCTAAAATACAGGACAGCTATCTTGCTTTTATTTCTCGGCATAAAAAACTTCTAACGGCTGGGATTGTGGCTTAGTGGTAGAGTGCTTGCCTAGCATTCATGAAGCCCTGGGTTCGATTCCTCAGTACTACATAAACAGAGAAAGCCAGAAGTGGCACTGTGGCTCAAGTGTCTCTACCACTAGCCTTGAACAAAAGAAGCTCAGGGACAGTGCCCAAGCTGAGTTCAAGCCCAGAACTGGCAAAAAACAAAACAAAACAAAAAAACTCCCAAACAAAAAAAACACTTCTAACAACTTCCATAGGACTTCTCAAAGACCTTTCATTAAAGTTTAATTCATAAAGGTATAAACTACAACAGTTCTTAAACTTGCAAGCTAAGTAAGGGGAAATGGTCTGCTAACTAATAAGAAATAAGAGCTGGGAGCTGGTGTTCACACCTGTAATTCTAGCTACTCAGAAGGCTGAGATTGAGAATCTTGATTCAAAGCCAGCCCGGGCAGGGAAGTCCATGAGACTCTCATTTCCAATTAACCACCAGAAAACCGGAAGAAGAACTGTGGCTCAAGTGGTAGAGCACTAGCCTTGAGCTGAAGAGCTCAGGGACAGTGCCCAGGCCCAGAGTTCAAGCCTCACAACTGACGAGAGAGAGAGACAGAGAGACAGAGAGACAGAGAGAAAGAGAGAGGGGGGGAGGGAGGGAAAGAAACCTTGAGTTCAAACCTCAGAACTGTCCCCTCCCTTAAGAGAGGTTTAATGAGTTCAGTTGGGAGGTTTAAAGCATCTGGGCACTGGCATCAGCCTCTGGTAAGGACCCCAGAGTAGATATTCCTTATAGTGGGAACATGTGTAGGATAAAGATCACATAGCCAAACAGGAAGCCAGAGTATGATTCAGGGGCTGGGCTCCCCCACTTGCAAATTACAGAGTCACTTGGGAGTTACCCCAATGCCTTCTGAAGGCAGCTCTATGACCTAAGGACTCCTCACTAGGACCCATGTCTTAAAAGTTCATCATCTCCACATTGCCAAAATGGAGACCCAAGTTTACAACATAACAATCTTTGGAGACATATTGAAGCCATATCAAAACCACCACAGCAAAGAAGTTAACCCTATTTACCACACAGTTTTTGTCACAATCAAATGAAACTGGGCACAGATGTCTAGCATAATATAGACACTTGCATAATTTTCCCTTAAGACTTCTGGGTAAAAATCGAAGGAAGGCTCCTCAAAACAGAATACCAGCTTGGCAACCAGGTACCAGTAGCTCATGCTTGCAATTCTAGTTACTTGGGAGGCTGAGATCAGTGTAGGATCATAGTTCAAGGCTGGCCTGGGCAGAAAAGTTCATGAGACAACCTGAAGGACTGTACTTCAAGAGAAATCCTGGGACTGGAAGTAAAATCCTATCTCAAAAAACAAGTAGGGTCAAACAAACAAACAAAAAAACCCTCCAAAGCAAAACAACCCCCCTTCCCCCCAAAAAAGGCTAGAAGTGAGATTCAGTGGTAGAATGCCTGCCTAAGAAGTTCAAGGTCCAGAGTTTAAACACCAGCACTGCCCACCACTCCCCGCAAAAAAAAATATTAGCTCGGCCATCGGATAACAAGTCTTTAAAGCAACTGATAAATTGGGACTTCATTCTTTGGTCACAAAGAGACAAGATCTAGAAATACACTGAAAAAGTAAACTCCATTACACAAGTACAACTAATATAGAGATCTAAGGAATTAACAATGATCCTTTGAGGAAGTTCAAAAGGCTGATAGGAATCTAATTAACATTTCAATGATTGCCTTACAAAAAAAACTCAGGTTTCTTTATTTTTCCTTTTTAGATCTGATTGAAGTCTCTATTGTTTTGAGTTGAAACAAATTTAAATTTGTTGAAACAAAAAGCCAAGAAAAGCAAGCAAAGGTTGAGGTTATGGAAGAAGTAAGTGGCACACTCTTGCTCTTTTTTATTCCTTTGTCAAACAGAAATAAGCTTTATTCTGAATCACCAAGGAGCCTTTACCTTTACATAGTATTACTCCACTTCTGCAGGGTGATTCATACCTTACTCAGGAAGCAGAAGACTTTTAGGGGCTTGAACTCAGAGCCTGGATGTTGTCCCTGAGCTTTTTTGTTCAAGACTAGCACTTTCCCACTTGAGCCACAGCTCTACTTCCAGCTTTTTTGGTAGTTAATTGGAAATAAGAGTCTCAAGGACTTTTCTGGGTGTTTTCCTACCAAATCCACAGATCTTAAGTCTCTTGATTAGCTAGCATTACAGGTGTGAGCCACAGGCACCAACCAAAGATAGCATTAATTTTTTTAAAGTATTTGTTTGTTTGTTTGTGTATGTCAGTTGTGGAGCTTGAACTCAGGGTTTTGGCACCATCACTGAGCTCTTTTGCTCAAGGCTGGTGTTCTAGTAATTTGAGCCACGGTTCTACTCCTGGTTTTCTGGTGGTTTGTTGGAGATAGGAGTCTGACAGAACTTCCTGCCTGGGCTGGCTCTGATCTGAGTATGGAAGGACGTGTCACAATGCGTTCTCTACCCCCTTGTACAACTAATGTCTGCTAAGATAAACAACTTTTTTATCTTGAAATAATTTTAAGCTAATAGAAAGTTGCAAAAACTTAACAAAGATTTCCACTTTATCTCTTAATCCTTATTTTCTGACAAACATTTTACATTAGTTTTCTCTGTCATATTTCCCCTGAATCATTTGAAAAATATTTTGTATGCTCCTTTTGTCCAAATATTGGAGTATTTCCTGACAAAACTATTCTCTTACATAATCATATTATAATGATCAAGTTAGAAAATTAACAATTAACCCTGGCATAATATTATCTCATCCTACTGGGAATGAAGTTTGAAAGTATCATTATTAGCCTGTTATTTTTGCATATAAAGGAACTTTTTTTTTTTTTTTGGCGGTCATGGG